GACGGACGGACGGACGGACGGACGGACGGACGGACGGACGGATGGAACTGCTTGAGGGAAATGCCAAGCCATTTGGTAAAGGCAAGGGGGTAAAACATCATCAGATTTTATTATGTGTACCATAAAAACCTGTAAGAAGCTGGTTGGCAGTTACCTGAACAGGAACTTTGTTAGGAAATTCAATGTTACTACTGTCCATGTTTAGAGAGCTTTTATAAATGGCTACCTTTTGTGTAATGGAGAAGAAGCGAATATATCAGGTCAAGACTAAGCAAGTCAAAACTCAAGTGTAAGTGCAATTGTCTTCAGCACTTGAATATATGACCTGAAGATTAATGGTATATTAATCTAGCATCTTCCAAGACCTAAGAAGATGCATGTGATTCAGTTTGCTCAATCCTCTAAAGGCAGACAGTTTTTGACCATCTGATTATACACTATAGCACTTTTGGAATCCACAGTAAGTGCCCTACATAGGAAAGGAGATAATAGAAATATTGAGGCATAAACATTTTTTCTCTCTTCCATCAACACCTAATCCACCATCCAATCATGGCACATCATTAACCATCCATAATCATCTCTCAGACCTATAAACTTACAATGATGGGGTGTATCTAATAGCATAGTCTTTGTTATGCTTCATGTTCTTTATGTTTGGAGTTTACACAACTGAAACCAGCTGGTGATAATCTGAAAGAAGGCATTCCGCTCACTACTGTCAGGCAGTATAACGAAGAGAACTGGAGAAGCTTGGTGAGATTGCTTTGTACTCTAGGAAGAAACATGAGAAATTGCCAAACTCTCAGGAGGTCTACTTAGGATCTTCCAAATATTAAAGAAACATATATTTCTCATGATTAGCCTATTTCTCCTCCTTCAATGGGAATTCCTTATAAATTCTCTTAGGCATCCTTCAGTCTTGAAAGACCATGGTAATGCACTCTGTATGAGTGTCCTCTCCAGAGCACAAAGCCTGGGTAGAATAATATTGAGGATAGGCTGTTACTCAAGCAGCAAATCCCCCCTCTCCACATTGCTGAAATAGTCCAATGGAAAGGCAAGGGCCAATACAACTGGTTCCAGTGACATCACAGGAACCTTAGAGATTAATACCACAGTAATTAGAGTTGCATGGTTCAAAATTGGGAAAGGAGTACAACAAGGCTGTATATTGTCCCCCTGCTTATTCAACTTATATGCAGAATACATCATGCGAAAGGCTGGACTGGAGGAATCCCAAGCCGGAATCAAGACTGCCGGAAGAAATATCAACAACCTCTGATATGCAGTTGATACCACTCTGATGGCAGAAAGTGAGGAGGAATTAAGGAATCTTGTAATGAGGGTTAAAGAGGAGAGTGCAAAAAATGGTCTGAAACTCAATATCAGAAAAACTAAGATCATGGCCACTGGTCCCATCACCTCCTGGGAAACTGAAGGGGAAGACATGG